AAAAAAAAAAAAAAAAAAAAAAAAAAAAAAAAGAAAATGATAAAATTTGAACTGCCATTTTTCTTTCTTTTCCTTACTCATTTTTTGTAACCTCTAAACTTTTTTTCCGGCTGAAGTCCAATCGCCATCACACAAATTAAAACCACGTTTTTTCATAAATGTACAGAAAAAAAAAAAATACAGAGGAAAAAAACAGGCGCCAAATAGGTTTTCCCCTCCAAAAAAAAAAGCAAAAGAAACACTGCTGCTGCCGATTATGCAGATTTGCAGACGTTTTCTCTCTGATTTACACGATCTTTTCACTGTCTGTCTGCCCATCTGTCTGCCAGTCTATCCATCTGTACAGTTCACATATATCTGTGTGCAGTCATCATCTCCAGCATTCGCAGCATCAGCAACAGCAACAACAGCAGCAGCAGCAGCAGCAGTTTTAGTTCAGTGCCGCTTCCATAAAATTCATATGCTGCATTTTCAAGCGGGCAAAAATTTGCTACTGTAGTAAACATATATAAAAAAATTTTATTTGACCATTACCATTTTTGAATTAATCAAAAACAAATTCTCACTTATTGGAACGGTTGTTTGCAGCATTGGAATTTTGCCAACATTTTTTAATTCTCTTTGAAACTTTTAATACTTACAATTTTTTCTTTCTTTTTTATTTTACTTCAATTTTTTATCGTCCTACGGTTAGATAGTTTTCCTTCTGGTTTCGATCTTGTTCTTTCTTTTTTTTTTTTTACTTTTAATGTTTTCAACATTTTAATAAGCTGATTCTAAATTTATACCTATTCGTACACCGGATAAGATGTATACGGTTTTCTTTTTGGCATTCATAGTTAGGACTAAAGCAATTCAAGCATCAAAGAATTATGTCGACATCGTTTTTAAACAGTTGTTTTTTTTATTTTGAATTATTTGTATTGTAAGTAAATTGTTGATTTAATCAAAGTTTGGTGAGAAAATAAAAAGTTTTTTTTTTTACTTTTGTTTATCACAATACTTACTGTAGGCAGTTTCAACTTTTGTTTTTGCTGAACTTGTTTGCGTTCTTTTAAAGCGCATATAAGGCTTGTTTTTTTAGTTCCATTCATGCTTTATATAGTTTTCGGCGTAATTTAGTTTGGAAGGTTTTATTTTGTTTTACTTTGTATTCAATTTCTCTTCTGCAAATTCATTAAGGTCTGATGACAATTTGAAATCCAGTAAGCTTCTCGTATTGTAAGCATCAAATTGCGTAGACTGCATTTCATGTATCAGCTTCAGCTAAGGTTATACTTTTTAGAATAATGTGAAAACTAATTTCAGAAATTTTACTTGGGGGGTTTTTTGAAGCTGTTATTTTCATATCGTTTATGTTTGTTTAGGACTTTTTCTTTATGTTTGGGCTTCAAAAACTGCGAAATGTTCTGGAACAGAAATCGTCAACACTTAGTTTTGGTTCGTTTATTTTTATTATGATCGTTTCTCATTTACAGCGAATGGGCAGTTACAGATTTTTGTTACATTTTTGAGGTTTGGAGCCTGTTTTTCATTATGCTACTCAATACTGGTTTATCCGGATCGCTTATGACTACTTAGATTCTTAGAAAGATACTCTTCAAAACTTTATTTTGGCGTTAATTTGTAGGATTATTGTGAAATAAAATTTTTGACTTTTTTGTTAGTCTTTTTATTTATTTTATCCTTTTAGTATTAGTCAGTTCTAAATTGTACAGACCCATTTCAAGAGATTAAATGCAGTTTGAAGTTTTTTTAAGTGAGGACCCTGCGCGCACGTTGGGAACGTGGTTACCTAAAAGACTTGTATCACAGGAGGATGCTTCTGGGAGCAGATCCAGTTTTGCATCGCTCTGCTTATCCTAATTGGTAAGTTTTCAATTTAAAGTCGTCAGTCGTGATGACAAGAGGTCTTAGAAGAGTTTTTTACTGCGCTTTTAGAGAACTGTGCGAGATTT